CACACACACACACACACACACACACGCACACACACACACACACACACACACACACAAAGCGCCCGGTTTACCCGAGCGACCCCCCGGGCCCAACCGGCCGGGCGGCATCCTCACTCAGAGAAAAAGAGGGTTGGACTTTTCTGGGCCAGAGCTAAACTGGACCACACTGACTCACCCAAACGTGCAGAAAAGATTAATATACTGTTCCAGTAAACCAAAAAAAGGCAAAAAATGTACACCATTGACTTGGTAGCAAGAGAGGTGTTAAGAGTGAACAGTGTCGAAGGGACATAGTAGCAAACCTGAACCTGGATCAATGAGAGAGTGAGTGAAGGGACGCCTGGTGACCGGAGGCCCTACCCGGTGCCCCTAACCAGCCCCCCCAGGAAACTGCATAGCGTGTCTCTGGGTACTGCATAAAGGTTTCGCGGCCACTATGCAGGCCCATACCACGTCTCGGGCGATGGGGGTACGAGGCCATACTGTTTCTCTAACCGGAACTGCTGCTCACCAGAATATATGGGCCCTTGGAGTTCTTTGGGGGGAAAAAAAATAAAAAAATATATCGCAAAATTTAAGTGAATTATTAAAATTAATTAAATGTGGCTCGATTGCAGCGGCTGCAGCCCCACGCAAAGGGGTCGAACACAAATACATTAACAGAAGATAACTTAGATAAGGTATTAACTTGAGAATATCCACGCCGCAACTTCACAGCAAAGAGATTTTGCAAATACCAAACAGATATGAGTCTTCTGACCAAGTGCAGGTGAATAAGACAACCAACAACTGCACTTTCTCCAAGCAGTCAAGATGGAGGGTACTGCGGAAATTAGCACACTGGCAAAGCTTGGACCACAAGAACGTAGATCGCATTCTTCCTCTCCTTATTCATCGATCTTTTTCCTTTCCCCTAATACGACATTGATTGTGTGAATGGAGGGTACTGCGGAAATTAGAACAGGTGTGAGGGTCTGGTTTGTGAGAAATCGTACAAGGACAACTTACAGTAAAGTTTTCCAAGAAAGTTTATCTTTATCTAACTCAATGTTTCCGTCCTTCCCCATCTTCCACGTCAGTGATGTCGTCATTCAGACTACAATCCACATAGCCTGCAACCAGTATCTACATTGCCACAGCATGTCAAGCACTGTCAGCTCGACACATGAGCATTCTCACAACTCTTCACCCTCTCTCTCTCTCTCTCTCTCTCTTGCGCGCGCGCGCTCGCTCGTTCGCTCGTTATACAGACACATATGGAGGTATGCATATTATTGTGGCAGGGAGATTTGTCTTATCCACCATTCTGGTCTTGTAGAATGAAATATGGTCCATAAGAGTGCACACACACACAAGTATCTCTATCAGAAGAGAAGCGAAACAATTTCACGCCTTACCCTCAATAATTGCCTTCTTCGCCACTTTGACATCAATCTGCAGAGAGGTATTCACCAGTCACGAGAAAGTTCAGAGAGATGCCCGCAAAACCACAACAGTTAGTGAACGCATCAGGAAGTCATAACTTCAGACTTTCAGAATGTTTTTTTTCTTCCCTCTCTGGTTTCCATTGCTCACACATCTCAATCCATAAAGCTACCTCAAGAAACCAAAAAAAAAAGATCCAGTGCTGCTTACCCCCCTCCCCCCCAAACAGAACCTTATGGCTCTGGCTCCATATCCATTCCGGTAAAACACAAAACGAAAAAAAGATCCAGTGGCACCAGTGCTCCATTTGCTCCCACAAGCTTCATTCCTATCGGATCCGCGCACCCACTAGGAGCTCGCACACCCACTCGGATCATGACTTCTGGGGCGAGTGCCCACTCACACCTGTCCGGATCGCAACAGCAGGGCCGTGCGCCCACTCGCACATGCTCGGATTGTGACTTCATGGGCAGCCTGCTGACTCGTACCTACTCGGATCGCGATTGCAGGGTCGCAAGGTCACTTTCACCTGCTCAGGTCATGGCTACGGGGCTGCGCGCCAGCGGCAGCAATTTGGGTAGGGGTTTCAGGGTTGTGAGCCAGATGCAGCAGGCTTGGACAGACGGTCTTGGAACAGCACGTGAGCTGCAGCAAGCTTGGACAAGCGTTTTGGTACCGCGTGCCCGGTCTTGCTGGTCTGGATCTCTGTTTCGGGACCAGTCGCCCACCCTTGCGGGCTTGGATTGTAGTGTTGGGACTGCATTCCTGCTGAGGTAGATTTAAACCACCACTACCCCCGACGTCATAAATTCGGCTTCCTGGCCATAAGGACCGTGTTTTACCGGGGGGGCTCGGCTGGCAGGTGCAGCCGCCGGGCAGGTCCCGTCCTGCAATTTTCAAGCGCCAACTTTGGTGATTTTTCACACTCAGAAAATTGACGAAAACAGATGAAAATTTGAGATCCTGTAGATTAGATTGTGACCTTTCCAGGAAAAATCAAATAGAAAAAAATAGACCGCAAAATAAATGCCATGCCGATTCGTTGCATTTTCCATTTTTGCCCCTCTACCACGTGGGGGCCAACAGAAAAAGTACTGCAACTCCTGCGATTTTTGCGCTCAGAAGAATGACTCAAAAGCTCTGAAAATTGGAAGGTCTGTAGATTTGGTCATGATCTTTCCAGGAAAAATATTTAATAAATTAACAACAATCCTAGCTTACCAGGGCGGACGTCCGGGACCCCTCTGGATGTCCGAATTGTCCGGTCAGACAACTGGGGAGACGTCCGCCAGAGACAGTATGGCCTACCCTCTAAAAAATAATAATAATAATAAATTAATAATAATAAATTAAATTAAAGTTTTTTTTATTTTTTTCTCTGGGTTCTCCTTCACATGAGGTATATGCCACAAAATGTTCGGGTCATTTGAGCCCATAGAAAAAAAGATAAAAATCGCCAAAGATGTCTGTGTCAATTTCAACCAAAAGGGTCTATCTTATTGGCGTCAATTTCAACCACGCACCCCHCCCCCCCACCCCCCCAAAACCCCCCTTCCCCATGTTTTGCATTTTATTTTTTCTGCTCCAAATGAGCTGAATTTTTTTTTATGGGGTCACCTCATGTAGCGCAGGCCTCCCCCATTTTTTTTCCCCCTTTTTATTTTGGAGACAATGAGTTGTCTGGGATTCCGGACAACTCCCTCACCGGACGTCCGACGGAGACGTCTCCGGGAAACATCTCCGATCGGAAATCTGGTAACCTAGCAAAAATCATTTCAACTGTGAAATCAATGGCAGCTGCAGTTCGACGCATTTTCCATTATTGCCACTCCACCGGTTCTCCCCACTGTGCTACCGGTAGTCCTCATAAACATGTGTTACCGGTTACACCGAATTTAGGACGGCGGGGGTGGTGGTGGTTTAATCATTGTTTGGGGCTGCGCCCTGCCACTGTGCAGTTGGCTCGCCGGCTAACACGCCTTCTGCTACAGGGGAATAGGCCAGCGCGCCCCCTGCTGCAGGCTTGGCCTGAGGGTGCAGGGTTATCCACTCTCGCCACACCGGTCTTGACTTGAGGAAAGGAAGGGCCTGAGATAGTGAGCCTCGCTGCAGCAATCACAGAATGAGGGTACGAGGTTACGTATCACCCCCCGCACAGGCAATTTCAGTCTAGTTCCTGCGTGGGCAGCGAGTCCTGAGTCCAATACCTGCACTGGCGGTCTCAACCCGGTTCCCGCGCAGGCAGTTAGCTGCAGTCAACTTCTCGAGTGAACAGTGAATCATCACTCCTGTCAGAAACTGCAGTGTCATTCCCGTCAGTGATTGCGAAAAATAGCAGCAGAAGCTGCAGTACTGTTCAATTGAGGAGTCGCAGTTCAGTTTACGTTGTCGGCCACGCCCATTCAGGCGGGCCCTCACTCTGCTTGAGTTGCTGCTAGTTTTCAGCCAGGTCCACTGCGGCGGGCCCCTACTTTTATTTGAGTTGCTTCCGGTTTTCAGCCAAGCCCACTCAGGCAAGCCCCTACTTTTGTTCGGGTTGCTGCCAGTTTTCAGCCAGGCCCACTCGGGTGGGCCTCCACTCTGGGTTGCCGTTATTGCCTAGCCCACTCAGGCGGGCCTCTACTCTGAGTTGCTTCTATTGTCAGGCCCACTCAGGCCGGCCCCTACCTTGAGTTGCTGCTTTTGTCAGGTCCACTCAGGCAGGCCTCTACTTTGAGGTGCAGATTGCTGTTGCCAGGCCATTCAGGCAGCTTCCACGTTGAGATTGTTGCACTGACCAGGCCCACTCAGGAGGGCCCATTTACGTTCATCAGGCTGCTGACAAAACCGCGTCAAGCTGAATCGTCAGCGTCTTACCACCCCAAAATGGGGCAAGCTGATCGAGAAGTTTGTTTATTGCCATCCGTGGCATCAGACATCAGCGATCAGAGCAAATGAGCTGCCCACCAATCGCCATGTGATCGTCGTTACTTATCTGGTGAAGGGCACAGGGAAGGGTTGCTACTTACGACACAATTGCAGATTACATCTTCCGCAGGGAGAGCTATTGGAGGGCCCACTGGATGCGTGTCGTCGTCCCCTCATGTTCCTTCAGCACCTGGGGGTGTGCTCTTCGATTTTGAGAGTTGTAACCCAAACCCACGCAACCAGCAACAGCAACGGCGTGCTGACCTCTTCCATCGGCGCTTGCGTAAGGAGGCAGCGGATTCAGGACTCCCAGTAGACAATGACATTGATTGACCAGAGACTGACGAGTGCGATCTTGACCTTTGCAGTGTGAGCGATGTCGACCTAGGCGACTACTTTGCCGTGACACTGGAGACAGGAAAGAGATGCAGAATGAGGCAGTTCTGTGACCGATAGCGTACCTACTAGCCCGTTACTTGTTGGAGGGTCACTGAGACGACTCCTATATGTCCGAGGAGCAGAGACCGGAGGATGTGGCGGGCCCCTCCAAGGGGAAGGGATCAGTCCCCTATATCGAGGATGGATTCGTTCATCCGGTGGGAGCTGATTTTGCTATGCAGGCATTTCGGAAGAGGCTCTATGGTGATCACTTCTCGGAGGTGACTTATGGCTTTATCAATGGCCAAGGGCGGATTGAGATTTTGATTGGTGCGAGCGGGGATATTCCATTGGCAAGGGCGCTGTACCTCACGAGTGTCGCAGACGAGGAGATGGCCAGATGTATGGCCTACATCTTGCAGATAGATCCAGCAGCTTCCGTGGACATCAGCTATGTGGTCCCGGAGTCTATTGCTACCAAAGTCACCAAGTTGGACGACGAATAGCGTGTACCCGAGGCAGACTCTCGTACGGCCGACCTCACTCATGAGGGTATCGCTCTTGTGATCATTGATTGAGGTTATCTATGCCTCACACTGAGATGTATTTTGACTCATTATTATGATTTCTCAATGACCGCAGCCCTCCAACGGCTGTTTCCTGCACCTCTGGTGTACTAGTCTTCAATCTTGTGTCTTTGGCCATGAGGAATGATACGTTCTCTTGCCTTTCTTCTTTCATTACTTAGGTCACACTCAAAGTCGTTTCAGGACTCCTTGAGGATAGGAATTCCGATGACTTCGAGTCTGGCCTTTACACGGGGTCAGGCGCAGGCGATAAAACGGAACGCCTCGCTCTAAGCCGTATCGCCGCTGGCAGGAGGGGATAGTCCTATCTACTTGACGACTCTGTTGAGAGTATCATGAAGCTAGCCCGAACACACCCACACGTTTTACATTTAACTCACCTAAAACCCTGGGTGACAGCCTGCCAGTCCATCAACCCACGGCACTCAGACTGGCGGGGGACACCAAACCAAGGCTTGGAAGCGGTGGGGGCGCAGCAACGCGCGCTGGGCACGCCGTGAATGCAGAGGGCGGTTACTTATCGATGGAGTCACTTGGAGCCTTGTCTTCAATCTCGAAGCAGGGTCGTCGGCGAGAAGGGTGTAGGCGGGAAAGTTGCCGTGGTTACACGGCGAGGTGTGATTGGTCCATGAGACAGGGTGGAGTTGTGCGAGTCCTTCCCCTGGGGATGCAGTCCACGAATGCCTGCTATATTTCCTCCAGCCAGCCAGATTCTCATAAATTTTGCCAGTTCTTGCTGCTTGCCCGGATTGTTCTGAATTTGGAGCTTGACTTTCGTCCACTGACATAGAATTTTCGCCTTCTTTTCATTTTCTGAACTTGGACCATTTCTCAATTTCTGAGAATCATCCTTATGCAGGAGGCATGCTAATCTTCTATGTACCATTCCAATTCTTAACGGATGTCCCAAACAACCAAACCATTCGTTTTGCCTTCTTTCCTTCGGCTTTTTTCACAGTTTCTCTCTTCTTCTTCTGCCAGGCTCACCACATTGACACGGTTCAATGCAAGGTGCACATACCCCTGGTCTGCCATAACAGCAGACCTGCATGCTGAAAAAGAGGTTGTCGAGTGCAAGTGTGCTGTTATTGCAAACAGGGCTGTGGCCGGCCTGTCATCTCAGGTCTACCCTCCTTCCTTTCCCTTCTGTCTTCCCTTGCTCCAAATTTTCCCCTTCCCAAAAAAAAAACGGTGAAGTACTGATACAGTCAGAGAAAGTGAGGGACAGAGAGAGAAAGTGAGGGACAGAGAGAGAAAGAGAGGAAGAGAGAGAGAGAGGAGGACAGCGAGAAAG